GCAGATGCCACAGACAATCCTCCCACCCCTGCATGGCTCTATGCCATGCAGTGGAGTCCTCCCAGACTCCCCAAGTCTTCGAGGGTGCCAGCTGATTCCCCAAGACCAGTACAAGAGCAGGTTCAAGGTGAGCTTTGCCTATGGACCCACACCATGAAACTGAGAGAGGCTCTCGAAAGGGGCCAGGCCCTTGCCAGGCACTGCCCGCTGCCTGTAGGGAACTGGGTTCCCCTTGCTCTGCCCATCACCAGGGGGCCCTTGCCCATCATCAGGGGACTCTTGCTCATCCTCAGAAGGCTCTGCTGGGTCCCCCCTACTCTGTCATGCCCTGTGGCAGTGGCACAGCACACCCTGTGCTGTGGCAGACGAAAAGCCGCACAGTGACCTTACTTCTCACACTTGGCGTGGGCCGGATACTCTTGAAATGCTTGGTTTTCCTCTGTAGGGCCATCTTGTACTGCAGGGAGACAGGAGGAGGGGTGGCTTCAGTCCTGGCAAGTTGGCCATAGCGAGTGGAATCCCATGGCATGGTGCACCAGAGCCATAGTGATGGGTGCAACCGCTCCATCACCCCCAAGCGTGCATCCTTTCTTCTTGGTCCAGCACCAAAACTACCCATAATGCCAGATCTGTTGCTTTCCTGGTCAGAACCCTGTGCCAGCTTGGATCCCAATTCCCAAAACAACCAGAAAAGCCCAGACCACCACAATGACATGCTTCCAGTGCTAGCAACGCAGCCAGCACGGCTGGGCAGACCAACAGTGACATTTCTCAGCACTAATTGCCTTGGCAGTGTCCTGGGTGAGTGCTGCGGGTACATGCAGCCCCATTAAGCCTGGCATCATCTGGTAAGGCGGATAAGAGGTTGTTATAGCCAGGCATCACGCGGTGGCAGCGAGGTCAGACCCTACCTCCTCTGCAGCAGGGTCAGGAGGATTCCTGCCCCTTGCCAGTGCTGTGGCATCGTCTTCAGCCAGCTCCGGCAGCAGCACCGGGAGGTCGAGCCCCTGCTTGGGGAAGCTCTCCACCTAAAACCATTAGGAAGTGCTTCAATTATCCCTGGCCACCCTGCGTGTTCTGTGTTGCTCCATTCCCTCCCTGCGGCCAGGATTTGCGAGCGGATTTAGGCCTGATTAGCTGGCTGCTGGCCGCAGCACACAAGCAGCCAATGCCTAGCTTCACCCCAGCACCCCCCACCATGCAGCAGCTTCACTCAGGACCTTAATGCTGCTGTGACCGCACCAGGAGAGGATTACCTGGGAGTGAAATCAACCTGAGTGGGAATCATCCTGCTTCTCAGCCAGCAAATCCATGACCAGCAGTGGCTGGTGCTTGGGCAATGCTGGGGTACCCAGACCCACATCCCACATCCCACTGCCCATTCCCCAGGTGCTGGCAGCTCACCAGTTTGCAGTGGACAGTGGTCAGATCTCCCAGCACAGCATCCGTAATGCAGTTGGCCACGGCGACTGTGACAGACAGCTTGATTTCACTGGGAGCAGGGAGAAGGGTGTCAGGGCCAGCACCCATAGCCCTGCAAGCCATGGGGCCAGCCCCCCATGGAAAGCCTTGCTGGGTAGATGCACCCAGAGAGGCACTCATGATAGTGCCCTGGGCTCCTGCTTGCTGGGAGCAGGAA